CTCCACAGATACCTGATCCCCAGTGGCTCTAATCCCAATGTGTCTGAAATGAAGCCACATAAACCAAAGTGTACTAAGGAAAGCCAAGACAGTCATGTTTTCTGGATCATTTCTGTTACCAAATGCTTCCGGCCAAGTGCACTGACTTTGACCTCTGGAGCCAGTCTGGAGTCCCTGGCTGCCAACTGCCACCCCTCTCCCCTCTCCCCTCTCCCCCTGCTCCTCCTCAGTATCCAGGAGCGCTGCTGGTGGCCGCAGACGAGTGGCCCCGGTCACTGATTGCGCAAACACAAACAGGAGATGCTCAGGGGTTAGTTCATCCCACCCACATATTTGCTCTCTGCCCTGGTGTCTGTTGTGGGTTCGCATGTTGCATCACTGCTCTTGTTTGCTATCGTCTTTCTGTTTGCTGCCCTTTTCTTCTGAGGACAGTTTCTAAAATAGGAAACCGCTGTGCTCAGGCTAGAACTTCACTGTCTGAAATGAGGAAACCTGCACACAAACCAGAGGAACAAAGTGGCTGTAGGTTTTTATTAGAGCTCAGCTCAGCCCACCTCAGCTCAGCTGCACCCACTGAATGCTATTTTTTACTTGCTGAGGATTTAGAGAGACCTCTGAACACCCGAGGGAAAATGCTTCTGTTCGGCACCTCTGACGTATCATACTAGGTGGGCACTGCAGATCAGGCAAGGGGTTTTGAAAAGCAATAAATGGAATAAAATTCCTTCAAAACTACAGCTCTGGAAAAGTGGCCTTGGGATCCCAGAAGGCTTGACTGTTGAAGGATCCGACAGTGTCCCTGGGCTCTGACACACATACAGTATGTTTGTTGAGTGCCCATGAGGTCATCACTCCTCGGGACTCTCCTCCAATCACAGGGCACGTCCTCCTCTCTGTGGATGACCCTGTGGAGCTCGCAGCCTATCGGTGCGCTCGGCGGCTGAGACAGTGGGCGTGTCTGCGAGCGGGAGGCACGCACAGACCCGCCGCACGTGCGCCAAACTGGTTAGCAGTTGGTAATTTGCTCAATTTGGAAAGAATAACAAGCGGCCCTTGCTCTGATAAGGAAGGGGCAGATGGCCATTACAGTTTGCTAGCGGAGGAGGGAGAGGACCGCTGCTGCCTGGAAGCTTTGTCTCCTCTATTAGATTTCCAGCGGGCAGCAGATGTGCAAATATTGACACCCCTCTTCACTCCGCGCGCACCGGAGAGCCACGCCTTTTCTCCGACATGGGTGCACACTTCATCGGAAAATAAAAAAAAAAGATCCACTTTTTTTCTTCGAGTGTAACAGAGTGTGTTCTTTTTTTAAAACCTTTTAAATATTTGTAAGTTACATTCTCGGTTATGTCTTGATCCTATGAGATAACGAAGAGATGAAACACGCGCGGCAGAAGATAATAAAGAAGATAATCCTCTTTTCTGCGTTACAGACTCCACGTTTAATGTTTATATCATGTGTAATACGCCATAGCAGACGAAAGGAAACGGAGCTGCTTCGCCCCGTTTTTTTTTTGTAAACTTGTCAGAGAGAGAGCGATCAACAAAGATAAACCGACAGCTAGTCGAGTCTTCCGGCGTCTTAACCGCAGAGCACAAGACACAATACCGACAAACAGCCCCAGGCTTTTATGCCTGTGTCAGGAACTAAATATAAATTCCCCTCGCTTCTTATAAACTGCCTACAGGTAATTCCCTCTTTTATTCAGATTTATAGTTCTTGAGGTTTCCTTTAACGTTTATTTCGCTGAAGATGCACGGCCCCCCATTTTGTCAAGCCAGCATTATTAAAGAGCATCTTCGCTGTGTGATGCCGACATATCGTTTTACCTGTTTTGGAAGCTGCGTCGCGTTTTAGTTCTTGAAACCATTTGTAATCGTTGTGCCTCCTCTCCCCGAACGTCATTGTTCTTAAAATAATTCGGAGGAGGATAAAATGGTGAACTGTGTCAAACGTGTGTGGCTGCCCTCGGGTTGCAACACGTTTGGAAAGATCCCAGTAATTCTAGAAAATGCACTGAGTAAAGGCAGCGGTGTTGTCGGTAATGTATGGTCATACCTAACCAACAGTTTTCTCATTCAGAATTTTTCAAGTAAAATATCACTAGCTTTTAACAACTTTTAATGAATTAACATGTTATCTCCGGCGTAGCGAAGTGCCCCCCCCCCGACGATGAAATATTTTCTCGATCTCGCTGCTGAGAAAAACCGCAGATCTTTTCTGTTGTCGTTCCTTCCGCTATGATAAGAGCACAAAGCCAGGAAACTTGCAAAGGTTAATGACCTCCGAAACCGCGCGTCTCGGGGCGAGAAACCAAGAGAACGCGCCCGGGCCACGCGCCCCCCGCCAATGGCGGCGGTTTGCCGGTGAAACGACCCCTCGATCACTTCAGCCGGTACGCGTTTAATAAAACCCGCAGCAGTGGAGTTCCGTCAGAATTATAAATGCTTTGACAGTGTTAATTGAAGACTCCGGAACCTGTCCGCCTGGAGCGGAGTTTTGTTCGGTTTAACGAAGAGACGGTGGCTGTATTGTAGCTTCTTCCGGTCTGTTTACATTTCGAGGTTTCTGAGGAAAGTACGAAAGGAAATTCCGGACTGCGTAGCCCTCGTTTTCGTCTAGTGCCTGTTTTTTTTTTTGACAGTGAACAGCAATTTGTGGTTTCTCGAGTGAAACAAATACAGATATTACTGTGTATTTTGGGAGAATAAAAAGTTCCTGCCTTTTTATTTGAAAAAGGGTTCCCAGTGTAGGAGGAGGGGGGAGGAATTGGTTAAATTAAAAGCCAATAATTAACCAACTGAGGTCATCGGAAACTGAGATACGTTGAAAATTGTCCATCCCTGTTTTTATCACTAATGTGTGACCTGTGGAAAAAGATTAAATGGTCCATTAAGGCTTAATTAAGATGACATTACAAATAAGAGTTAAATACTCAGACTTTGGGACATCATAAGTAGAATACTACAGGAATCTATAAGATGACTCCTTTTCTTTTTCATCTATGTCAGTATACTCTAGATCCTGGTAAAGTCAGTTAATTAGTCAGTGCAGTCTGTAAAGTAACGAAAGTTACATGGTCAGTAAGCTAGTGAACTGATCTTCAGCATGTGGGTCAATGAAGAAATTCGGCAGATTATTTTCTGGACGGATCCGGCTCCAGCAGTGGCCTGTATTGAAGAAGCCAGGATTTTCTCAAGCCCCGCTCAAGAGGACCAGCACTGGAAACCCACTCGTTTGTGTAAGTACACATATGGACGAGACAGGTGCTCCTCCACTTCATTTTCTTAGCCTGGGGCTTCAGGAATGTGGAGGAACAGAAGTCTTTTGGCTTTAGGTGACCGGTCACCCTGTGCGCTGCACCACAGTAGAATACTGCAGCGACCGTCACACACAGGTTTATGGAACTGAGTCTCTTTTGCCTTGAACAGAGAGGATTATGGGGCGGCATACTGGATGAAGTCTACTGCCTGGGATGCCAGGTAAACTGAAGTTCGGTTTATTTAGCCAGTTTTTAGACAGCTGGTAGCTGTCCTCAGATTCAGACAGCAGTGCTGACCCTGCAGCAGTTTTTTCTAACTTACTTTCTTTATTCTCCCAAATGGGAAAATTACTTTGTGGGCAGGTAAATGACATAACACAATGGACAATACATTGAGCACAACACAAACCCATTAACAAATAAGAAATATACATGTATAATGAAAAAATATATAAAGTAGAATACACCCTCAATTGTCCAAATTGAACAGGTTAATAGCTGGGGAAATAATAACTTGTAGCAATAAACAAGGCTCTTCTATGTGATTAAACCAAACTCTGTCAAGCTAAGATGGTCTCTGTTTACTTACACTGAATCTCAGTGTCACTCAGTATCGCTAGTGGAGGGTGTTTTCTTCATCCAAAGGGCTTTAAAATGTTGTTTCAGCAGGAACAGAACTGGACAATTGAAAATGTCAGGAACGTGTTACTGGCCAAATAAAAACTGTGTCAAACTGTGTTAATCTAGGATTGCAACACTGGCAGTTTTAAAATTTCCTCTCAGAGGAAATACATCAAACTTTGCATCTGGAGTAAAGTTTAGTGATCTGTCCCAGCATGTCTGCCTCCCACTTACAGTAATATTTCAAAAGCTCTGCTGTCCTGAAAACTGAAGCTGCCAGTTCCCTCTAGTGGCGAAACACTGTTGCTTTACCCTACACATGAACCTGAAGTTGATTTGGAAGAAGTGTACTGTATGGGAGCTCACAGAAGACCCATACAGGCTGGTCTTCCAAAATCCCAGTGACCCCATTTCTAGAATATTCATAATATAGCTCCAGATTGCGATCCATCCATTTTCAAACGACTTCTTCTGATCCAGGGTCGTGGGGGAACTGGGAGCCTGTCCCAGCAAGCACATGGGTGCAAGGCAGGGGTACACCCCGGGTGGGCCGCCAGTCCATCACAGGGCTCACACAGACACACACACACACACACACACCAGGGCCAGTTTTCCCAGGAGGCAGTTAACCAACCAGTGGAGGAAACTGAAGCACCTGGAGGAAACCCAACAGAACACAAAGAGAACGTGCAAACTCCACACAGACACCACCCCAGGTCTGGAGCTGAACCCAGGGCCCCACAGCTGTGAGGCAGCAATGCTCACCACTGTGCCATCCACACCTTGTGGTCAGTTCTCCCAAACTGTTTGTACAACCTAGCTGCATAATCCAGGTCCTGTGACATCACAGATGACACAAATTATCATGCTTCTGTCAGATCTTCTACTGAAAATATTCTGTGTCTGGAATATCAACCTCAACAATTCTTTTTTTCTTTTCCTTGATGCTCATATAAATGCAGGAGCAGGATTTATGGACAGGGGTCCTGCTGAGATCAAAGACAGGCCAGTCTGCAGCAGTTGAAAGATGACTGGCGACCGAGACTAAATTAGAAGTTTTCCAACCCCAGGGGAGAAGAAGACAGGGAACGTGGCCCGCGGAGTTCGTGCAGGAGAGTATGAGCAGAATCCAGGGGAGGAGGGCTCCGTATAAAGGACTCCTGGAAGTATATCGTGGAGGAGAGGGGCAAATCTGTCCCACCTTGCCCGAAGCAGGCTCGTTGATGAAAATGTCTTGTCTCGTTCGTCTCTGTCATTTCACTCTGCTTTTTCCAGGGGTTAAGGGGAAGGGCTTGTTACCAAAGGGTGTCTTGATCTATTGCTGATTTGCTGCGTTAACTGACCTCCCTCTGCTGCCGTCCGGCGGGTGAGGCAAGAATCCCGTCTCGTGTATCTTACACAACGGCAGATGTTATAGCACCTGTTCACCCTGTAAGTCACTGGAAGCTTTGCGTTAACATACTACTAACAAATCTTTGCTGTGTGGTTGTGGGTTTTCAGGTCCATCACCCATTCTAGTATCGGTTAGTACAAAAGAAGAAAAACATTAGCCAAGAAGGATGAAATCTCAAATGGAGAACAGTGAGGAAATTTTGTTGAACACACAGCACTCTCTTGATCTAGATAATGCTGGATCTCGATAAAAAAGGATATTTGAATGCTTTTGTTTAGGCACTTGAAAGCTCTCTATACTTTAGACTTTTAGGGACTTTAAATGAGCCATTGTTTTGAATTCGTGAAAGAGACAGACATAAAAAGGAGGAGGAGATGCACATTTAGCCTCATCCGGTCAAGAAGACTAAAATGTGCTGAGAGACCAGAGACAGTTTTTTACAGAGAGACATAGAACAGTGGGCAAAACTGCTACCCCCACTGTTTTGTCTGATAATATAATGGAAACTTCCTAGAAATCTGGAAAAAAAAAGGATGTCCCGACATGTTCTTGTTCCTAAGAATTCCGGTACATTTACAGAAATCTGTATCCTGGCAGGAGCTATGAGACTGTCAGATTGCAGGGGTGCAGTATCATTTCCTGGCCTCTGTGATGTCGCATGCAAAATGAATACAACATGCTTCCACCCAACAGCTGCCCCCAAACCCCCCTTTTTGTTGTTATTTGATTTGGGGGATTCTTATTTGCTGGCAGAGTGTCCTGGGGAGCTGTGCAATGGCAGTGTGAAGGGGCTAGCCTTTTGAAATTAGAGCCCTTTGTTTTTTCCTGTCAGGACCTCCGGACGGAGAGAGAACAGGACTTGGGATCAGGAGGCGTTTGCTGTTTTGGAGGGGGCTTGCGTGGGGGTTAGGGAGGGAGGGGGGTGAAGGAGAGAGATCGCGTTCCATCTGGGCACTTCCTACAGAACAGCTTGAAGCACTCAGCAAGTCAGAGAACAGCCGTCTGGAACTGCTTCTGAGGCCGGGGGCTTGGTTGTGTGTGCATGTGAGCTTGTGGGCTTCATTTAAAAAATAACAAGTCTTGCAAATCCAGAAATCGAGAGGAGAGACGGCAACAGATAGGTTGCAGCGCTTGCTTATTTATCCCTTATGAACACATGACACGTTGAATGGATGGTTGCAAGCAGTCAAGCCCTTGGCATGGAGGTGTAAAAAAACCATAAAAAACTGCCAGTCAGCACTCAAAGTCAGTATGAATTTCTAAAGCCTCCTGCTCCAAAAGTGGGGCTCAGTACTGTATTCTTAGGGAGGACAGAGGGAAAGGTTTGGGAGGTCTTTTGGAATCTCCCCAGGAACGAAGATAAATGCGTTGTGGACTCAAATGAGAGGAGGGCCTGTATATTTGTGGCAGGTGAGGCAGAGGGGTGTTTTGGAGAGCAGCAAACACGTTTGCCAGTCTGTGCCCAGAATGGCATGCAGGAACCTGGGCATGCTCTGTGAACAGTCATCCAGGCACATCTACGTGAAAACCAGCACTTCCCACAGGTAGCCTTCCTGTTCTGATCTGACTCTGAGCAGACTGCGCTTTGCTGAGGCTTGAGTGCGCTGTCTCTGCTCTGTGCTGCACTAGGCTGTGACACTGGGGGAGCGTTGCAGGAAGGGGGAGGAGCTGCACCCACAGCTTGTCCAGACCAGACTGACCTCAGCTGACCCCACCTGTTCTCTCGCAGCAGGTGCGACTGTCAGACCCACAAAAACAGAAGGAGTGAGACTGAAGACAAAGCAATGGAGATTTCAGAAAGGACAGTAAAAAAACACAACAGCAGCAGCCCAAAGATGAAGCAGCCCTTAGTGTGTAGGCTGTGAGTAGACTGTGTGTAGACCATATGTAGGCAGTGATTTCCCAGCTTCTGCATTTTCTCAAGTTTAGGACTTGTGATGTTTTCTCTCTTTTGCATCCATGAGAATTAAAGAGCTGCATAGAGGGCAGAGATTTTGCTTATTTTCACATGCTGCTCTGCTTGGCTGCTATTTCTCTCACTGCGCGTGAAAACAGCCTGCTGACTGCTTTTAAACCCCTGGATACCCTGCAACTGTCCTTTCATAGTCTTTATCTGGCTCTAGCAATTGTGTGGGAATCATTAAAATAAAAAAATAACTTTATTTTTGTTCCTTTAAACTTCAAGGGTATATCATTAGGCTGAGCAAGATGGCTGCCTTCTTCATGTTATCACTTTCACATGTTCTTATGCGAAAGGATTCCAGAAGAGGAAAAAATAGCCCTTGATAAAGTACACCGTGGTACTGACGCCTATTTCCTCCCTGTGCTTTACATCATCCTATTCAGGATGTGCTCTAATGGTTGGGGGGGGTTCAACTGTTGGTGCAAAACTGTCATCTCCTGTTTCGGACTAGCCTAGAAATAGTAACTCAAAGGGATGAGACGGGACTCACGCACATCAGCATGCAAATAAGAACATAGGAACCAAGTGAAAGTAAAATGGCTTGTTCCCCCACAGTTGTGTTCTGTATTCATCCAGCTGTTTCTTCAAGATTGCCATGGAATTGACCTTGACCACAGATTAATTGGCTGGTTCATTTGACGGAAGACACCCACAATTCTTTATGTAAAGAAGTAATGCCCTTTAATTTGCCCTGGGGCAATTGTGTAATATTATTGACTTATTACGTTTTAAGAACTTGAAATAATTTTTTTTAAGAATGCTTTCGTTCTGATGTTACAGGACTTGGGACATTAGAGTAAACACCTTTTCAGGAGTAAACGCGATTCTGAAATACAGTAAGTCTTTCTCATCAGCCAGTGTGACGCTGGCGCAATGATAGGAAGGTATAAATGGTGTCACTGGGCCATGAAGAAAAGCTCTGAGGCTGTGACTTGGCAATAAAAGCCACTATTTGACCTCCAGTTGTGCAAGATTCAAAGAAATAGGAAGCTGAATGAGGGAGAGCTTTCCTGTTGTGTCATTTCATTGGACTCTCACATGCCTCGGGCGTTGTCGGCCAGTGGTGTTCTGTCTACAGCTCATCTGTTCTGCTGTGTGTTTCCGCATGGAAAGGCAGTCGTGGTGAGCTTGTGCAAATCAGTGTGGCACAATGCTCTGAAACCTCTCGGGCAGTGTCTGCAACTGCACATCACAGCGCTCCTGAACCTTTTGCAGTGAAACACACAACTCTGTGCACATCAGTTTAAGCCATTTTGTTTTTGTTTTTTCTCACCTGCAGACAGAAACTAATGGGGTTCACCAATGCTGTATAAATTCAAGTAGATTCAATATTTATTTAAATTTCACCCATGCGCTAGCCTGTGCATATTTTACATACAACAATAAGTGTGTTTAGAAAATAATCCATTCATCCCATCGTGATGAAAACCAGCAACCTGGTTTTAGCCTGCTTTCAGCGTTGATCTGGAAGAAGGGGTAACTTTTGGGTTAACTTTGATGGTACCTTTCAGGATTTCTGAGTATGTGAAATTTGTGCAGCGCAGACATGAAAGGTACTTGAACAGTCTTGAAAAATTTCCAGCCTTCATCCGAGGACTTCTCACATGCTTCAGCACCGAGGTGCAGACCATGTTGGACGTAAGATGCTGGAAATGACGGAGAGCCTCTGTGTAGTAAAGATTTATTACACAGTGCAAATATTTCATACAAGTGGGGAAATATGCATGATAAACAATATATTAGCATAGGAATGTGGTGGCTCTAGAAGTGTGCTATTGTTTCAAAGAGCAGGAATACCAGTAGAGTAAAATCTGAGACATAATGTAAATCTCAGATCTCCTGTAAAGCGCTTTGAGTGGAGTGTCCAGAAAAAGCGCTATATAAGTGTAAGCAATTATTAATTATTATTATTAATGTCCGGGATGGCTTTGGCCCGGCTTTGGATTGGATCCAGGCACTGTGGACAGGGTGGAAGAGGAACCTTAAGTGCCAGTTCTTTCCTTCCCTGCATTACGTATACCAAAGCCCTGACTGAGCATGCAGTTTCAGGAACATGTCACTAGCCTCTCCCCTCCAAACCCCAGCTACGGGCCTCTAGCCCTGTTTCCTGTCTCACTTCCTGTGGGACTCTGGGAAGGATTTCAGAGAAGGCTCCCACCCAGTCACGTGCTTCCTGTTCCAAATGGAATCGGCGCTTGCCAGTGGCCCCGCCGCCAGTGCAGAGGCTGACGTGTGCAGCTCAGGGTATCTCCTGTTTTGGACGCTTTTCACAGCTGTGCAAAGTTGGAAGCATCTAAAGGCCCAGTTTGCATCAGGGCCTTGTTTGCAGATCTTTCATCTCTTGCTTGGTTTGGCCTCTTGGCTAGTGAGTTTTCTCATCCCCTTCTCCCATACCTGCCTGAAACTCACACGGCTGAGGCACACTTCCTGTTTTATGCTTAGAAAGTGCGACAGGCCACACTACCTTCTGACGCTTGCATTACGTGCCAGTTTTCACCAACATTTTCAAGAAACACCTGTAATACATTGTAACGCAACGGGGGCTCAGGCGGGCGCCCTTGCCGCATTAGGTCGGCCCCATCCCGACTGAGGCTCGAACCCGGGACTCCCGCGTCTCTCTGCAGGGACCCAGCCCCGTGAGCTAAAGAGAGATCTCTCTACAGCCCAGTAGCTGTAGTCCTGCTATCACAGGGAAGGGCGGTGACGTCACCTGCTCTGGTACGCCGGCTCTTACACAGTGCCTGTCGGCCGTAAGCGTTACAACATACAGAAGCTTTACGCTGGGGATTTAGTATTTCATTATGTTTTCCCTTTTAAGAACATGAGAGCATTTACATTTACAAACAAGAGGAGGCCATTCAGCCCGCCCTGGTTGTTTGGACTTTAGAACCTTATTGACAGAAGCATGGCAAGCACCTTCCACACAACTAGGCTGGGTAGCTTCTTCCTGACTCCCACCACCCTTTTTTTAATACAGCGCCTACTGATTTCAGTTTTAATCTGGCCTAGGCTCTAGCTCAATAATAATCATTTCATAACATCACATCTGGCTATACATAAAAATGACTGTTAAGTCCTAACTTAATGTACCTAAATCCTAATGTACCTAAATGAGTTCAGTGAACCAAAAGGGTTTGATTAGCCTGCGTGCATAAAGTGATTAGTTTAGTCAAAGCCCATTAACTGACACCCACTGGTGATCCCAGCCAGGAGCATGTGAATTGCAGTGCTTACCCAGCTCATCCGAGAAATTTCAGTCATTTTCTTTACTCTCCGGCGCACAATCCACTCCCTTTTCTCTGATGGCGCGTGGGAGTGCCAAAGCAGGCCACCGAGTGGGCGAGCTGAATGGCAGCATTCTTGCAGCTGGGCACAATGGCAGATCAGCCTCTCCTTCTCTGCTCAAGAGCGTGCACATACTGTAGCTGCAAAAACCAGCGACGGGACCCCTGCAAGCATTTTGCCTGTGTTGTGGGTCATGAGCATCCTGGTGGGATGCAGGACTGTTTTTTGAAAAAAAGTGTCTTGCACTGGGGATGAGACGTCTTCAGGGTACATCTGCCGCCCGCTGATTGTATGAAGCAAGCGGCAGCCACGCCTTTGAAGACAAATGCATATGGAAATGCGGACTCCTCGTTTGTCTCTCTTTAAAAATCCCAACCAGTCTCTGGGTCTGGCCCTCCTACCAAGCGCCACAACACAAACGCAACACGAGCGGTAGCTGGGCCTGACCCGATTCTCTTCCACCCTGAAGACGTCAGTCATGTTTCCTCACTGAACCCCTCTTTGTTCCAGGATCAGCAGCCTCTCCCTCCCCTGTACTTGATGGAAGCAAAGAATTCCAGTGAGGCAGTAGTCCTGTGAACAATGGCATACATAAAGAGCTGCCACATTCCGATGCTAATAAATGCTAATCATGCACGTATGGTTGTTGGCTTATTACATATTTCTCTTCAATTTATTCTAATAAATCTCATGTCAAATCTCCAGGGGAGGCGGGTTTGCTCCAGGCAGTGGGAGACTGGACGTGGGTAAGAGCGGCAGAGCTAAATGGGCACCATTCTTCAGCGTAGTGTGAGTGGAGGTACTGTCATGCGTGTGAGAAGAAGAGAGTAAAACTCGGTTTTGAAGAAAGAAGCCGTGCTGTTAACAAATTGGAATGAACCCAAGAGCATGACAGAACGGTCTTCATTTCCTATCAACCTGCGGTCCTTCGTTTTTTAAAAAAAACAACATTATTTTGCTAGAGTAAGGCCTTTTCGGCAAGGTCACAAGTCTAGACTCCTGCTTCCGCCAGACATTGTGAAATTACCATGCCAAGCTGACCGACAAGCAAAGCAAGGGGCAGGGCTGACCCCAGGGGCAGGCCCATTGCCCAAGAGCTCTTGAGCATGTGGCATTGGGACCGAGCTTCTTAAAAGATGATACATCCATTGCACTCTTTGAGAACACATACCATGGAATCCCAGGTGTTGTGTTAGCAGGCCCATGTTTAGTTCAGGTGGGTAGCTGCGTCGGCATGCGTAGGCTGCAAAAGATCAAGTAAAGGTTTATTCCATGCTGAAAAGAGAAGAAAGAAAACACAACATTTTGGCTATGGAGCCTTCCTCACACCCGAAGAAGGCTCTATAGCTGAAACGTTGTGTTTTCTTTCTTCTTTTCACCATGGAACAAACCTATTACTTGTTCCATAATTATATTTATTTGATGGGCTGATGGTTTTATCTTAAGCAAGTTAAATTTGTTCATTTGGCACTACGCTTGAGCAATCTGAGGCATTTGCTCAGTGATTCAGCAGTTGTGCCCCAGCCTGGTCTTGAACACGCTCTCTCCCCGTTACAAGGCCAGATCCCCAACCGTCTCCACACTCAGTGACACAAAGCTGCTCCGCCTGTTGTGATAATTTCACAACATTGAGCAGAGAAACATCTTTTTGGGAAGATCTTCTTTAGTAAATGTAAAAACCTTTGCACTTAACAGTAACCTTCATCCAAATTTACATGCAAAACAAAGTAATATAAATCAAAATTGAATTTTGACGTTAGATATAAACCAGTTGTTTTACTTATCATTGGACTTTTGGTGCAGCGGTACCGATTGTACAGTTGTCTGTGTGTGTGTAGTTGGCGCCCTCTACTGTTTTATTTAAGATTTGCAGAGGATTTATTCGAATTCGATGGTTCTTATTACTGGTAGAGATCCTACTTAGAGAATACTGAAATCGCTTTCATGAAATCTCAACTAGTTTTCTTTGATCTGTTTGTTTATGGTTTTAAGTAATGTGGTATTGGCTTTTAAACCACCATGGCAGATGTACACATTCTTATGAATTTTATGGCCATTTTTAATTAGAAAAAAATACAACCTAAGAGCAAGGAGACAAAATAATCATTTTGATAAAATAATAAATAATTAGATTAATTAATTACAAAAAGGGCTGATTGAAATATGATATCTATACAATCCCTGTAGGAGGGAGTTGATCACAGCTGATGTGACCCAAAGAGGTAATAAT